TTAATAAAGGTATAATTAAGTGGATCTAGCATGATTTAAAGAAGTACTCTATTAAGAAATGGAAATGGATGAAAAGGGGGATACCTTTACATACTACACCAATCATAAACTCTTAGCCCAAAGAACAAAGTATATAAAAGAGATTAAAAATTTAAAAAAACAGTATGATAATTCAGTTATCTTGTTTACCTGAAGAATGAAAGTGACATTTCCTTAACAAGTTTGCCAAAAGGTATGCTAGGTCTTTTACAATACTAGTAGTAAGGCAACATCATCTTCATTAAATGAAAAAACTAAACAGTTTATAAAGTTTTCCCAGAGTCATAGATAATTTAATGGAAAAACCAGTACAAAACCCAAAGGGCCAACTTCCAATAAGATTGTCTAACATGCCTGCTAAGTTTTAATTAACAGTCTACTAATAATTTTTAATCCAGATAAAAGAAGTTCACAATGTCATATGCTCTATTCATTCGTTTGTGTATAACGTAACTTCAGGTAGAAAGTCACACATAAATGTTCAAATGTTGAACAGTCCCTTCTTGCTTCAAAAAACTTTAAGAAATTAAAAAAGCTAAAACTGAGTTCTAAAATCTAGCCAAGCAATCTTAGATAAAGAGACAGACAACATTTTCTCAAAATGTTCTTTGATAAAAAGGAATTTAATTTAAATTATCCTCAGTACACCATGATTTCTGTTCAGTGTAGCTGAGTAAATAAAGATGTACTTCCCACTTACTCTACCTTCACCTTAACTTTGTCTCTTATTTCTTGCTCAGTCATGACAGGTTCATTACTGCCCCTAACTTTGGGACAATTACAAGTAACATTTACAGGTTCCCTTAGTCCTCTAATAAGGCCATTTATTAATAATATCTAAGAAATCTCATAAAAAATGTGAAAGTTAAAGGGTAAAATTCTTAAAGGTTCTATGGTTTATGAACTTTAGCTTAAAAAAATAAAATAAAAAGACTGATATCTATCGCATTTCTGAAAGATAAGGCAAAATAATCAAAGTTAGTTGTTATACTAAATAGGGAGCAGACGCTATGCTATCAAAATGATAATTTTATATTAAGAATTATTTTTTAACTCAAAAGTGCATCCAAAAAAGCCATCAGAGTAAGGCAATAGTTTGAGTTATAAAGCTTGCAAACAAGCATATAGTGAGAGGCTTAAGGTGGGTAACATTAACGCTATCATGCTTTAGCATGATTCTATAGTGAGAAGAGGCGTTGGATATGTTAGCTGCGTGATCTTGGTTGAGATATTTAGCCTTTTAAAATTGTTTTAAAATTTAATTATAAATTTAAAAATTTATGACCAATACAAATTATGACAGATTTTGAACATTCCATAAAGTATATAAAATGATGCCTACAGAGTAGGTTTAATTAATGTTAACATTTAGCTGGTTTTACTTTACATTAACCTCTTCGTCTTCTTCCTTCACTAGAGGAAGTTAAATTCCTGAAGTTAGTGGTATCATTCTCACATATTTTTATTAAGCTTTCCAAGTCTCAGTTTCCTGTTTGTTACATCCATTGATCAGTTCGTTATCAGAGAGTTGTAGCCAAAGGCAAATAATAAGTACTTAATAAGCATTACCACTGGAAAATGCTACATAGAAAACACAATTACTACCCACAAGAAACTTACCAGAAAAAAATAAAACACAAAACAAGACAGCATACTGTATTTCACTGAAGTTAACTGTAAGACCTTGAATTATATTACGTACCACTATGACGGGAAAATGGCTAATTCTTATAGTACATTTTTTTAAATTACAGAAAATTTCAAATATAAAAGAAGAGAGACTAGCATAATGAAGTCCCATATACCCATATTCCAACTTCCACAATTATTAATTCATGTTCAATGTTAGTCTGTCTACTACCTACTCAAGATCCTTTTGAAACAAATTCTGGACATCAGATGATTTAATGTATAAATATTTCAGTGTATAACTAAGTCTAAAAGGTAAGTGTTCTTTGGGAAAAGAATCAATACCATTACCACAAGTAAAAAAATTTTTTTAACTTCAAGAATTCCTTAATATCAAACACCCAAAGTTCAATTTTCCCCAATTGTCCATAAAGTTACATTTTTTACAACATGTTGGAATATGGATCCAAATAAGATCCATACATTGTGACTGGCTGAATGTTTCTTTGTTAATCTACAGGTTCTCCTCTATCCCTATGAAACTTTATGGAATTTTCTGACTAAAGAAATCAGGTCAGCCCTGGCCAGTTTGGCTCACTGGTTAGAGCATGGGCAGTCTGACTGAAGGGTCTCGGGTTCCATTCTGGTCAAGGGCACATAACTCAATTGCAGGCTCAATCCCCAGCCCCAGTTGGGGCGAGTGCCTGAGGCAACCAATTGGTGTGTCTCTCTCACATCAATGTTTCTCTCTCTCCTTTCTCTCTCTCTTTCTCTCCCTTCTACTCTCTCTGAAAAGCAATGGAAAAAAGATCCTTCCATGAGGATTAAAAAGAAGAAAGAAACCAGGTCATTTGTTTGTGGTCTCAATTTTGCTGATTGTATCCCCCGTCACTTAACATGCATCTCTGTCTCTGTACAACTTGTAAATTAGTAGTTAAATTTCTTAATAAGGTACAGGTTTGTCTGGTTTGGTTTTCAGGTTTTTTGGGGCACACTATTGCATATTTGCTGTTATGTACTTCCATAAAGGGTTTTTTGTTTTTTAAAATGTCTTTACTGAGTTCAGAAAGAGGAAGGGGGAGGGGGAGGGAGAAACATCAATGATAAGAGAGTCATGATTGGCTGCCTCCTGCACATCCCCTAGTGGGGGTCGAGCCTGCAACCTGGGCATGTGCCCTGACTGGGAATTGAACCAGGATCTCCTGGATCATAGGTTGATGCTCAACCGCTGAGCCACACTGGCCGGGCATAAAGGGGTATTTTTAATGTATGGTTGTCTCTCTTTTTGTGATGTTAACAGCCATTGTTGATCACTTCCTAGATCTATTAATTCATTAGTTTACAAAATGCTAATATTCAAATTCTTTATTTTTACTTTCAATTATTTGCTGAAATACTTCTAAAAATATTTAATTTTCCTTTATTACCTGTTCAATTATCCTGATGAACACTTTATTTAGGAAAGGCAACATAGATGTTTGGACCTATTCTTTTATAAATGTACCGGTTTTCACAATGAGTTAATTTCTTAGCATCCTCCAAAATAGGCCAATTAGTTTTTATGTTTATTTAAACCTGAGTAATTTTCATTAAACATAATATCTAAATACAAACTATTTCATCAGGTATATAATGTATTTCAATGCAGGAAAAAATGTAACTGGCCATGTCAGATGTATTAAACTCCCCAAGTAAAAAGCAGTCTCATAGAAAACTAACTACTAAATGGATAATCAATAAGCACTCAGTACCCCACAAATGAATCCAAACTCATTCAATTAAGACATTTCCACATAATTACCTTGGTCACCCACTTATAAAAAAGTAAAATGAGTATTTCTGCCTATCCTAAACCAAACAAATGACTTCAGACATCTTCACTTACATAGACACAACATTAGGTTACAGGCCTTGGACAATGATAACATTCTGGCATGAATAAACTTTTTGAAAAAAACTATAATTTAAAATTAGCTGTTCAATATTAAATTAGCTTAGGATATACACTAAAAACTTTAGTATTTCATATTCTGAATAGTAAAACAAATTCTCAAATCCAAATAAATCACCGATGCTTATAAATAGTCTTCACTACACTGAAGCACTTTCGGTCAGATTTGCCTATATCTCTCTCTTTAAAAGTAAGTCCAGGCAAGGAACACTATGTTTAAGTATAAACATATACTTAAAGAAAATTATAATAGACTTAAAACTAAGATCGACACAGTGAGAGCAGGACAAATTATCTAGGGAAAATCTATAACATCATTTAATCTTCCTCAGCAGTTAACTTTGTATCAGATCCTAGAGTTACCAAACAAATTCTATCCATTAGAACAGGATGCTAATCTACAATGATGGGGGGGAAAAAGACGTTTGATATCTAGGTTCGTTAACAAAAGAAAAATGCTCATCTAATCATTAAGTCCTTTTAATGCAATTTCATTTTAATAGTAAATTATCAAAGGCAGGACATTTATTAACCTGTAAATCTAGGATCTATAAACCTGAGAGATTATGTTAATTCAAGTAAGAAATAACAATAACAACCAAATTGGCATTCATAATGTAAAACAATGAAGTTGATTATAATTTACTTTATTAATGAAAAACAAGTTCATTAATTCTTTATTATCTATAAAGAGAAATTCATTGTAACCTAGCCTGGAAATTAAATGTTCACGTTCTTGCTTACAGTTAATAGTAAGTTGTTCTTTAGAACAGGATACATAGCCTGAGCTCCAAAGAGGAATCACAAGGCACTACAGCGCCATTTTTCTCAGGCCCTGCCCCATACCGTTCCTGTACTAAAGAACTATGTACTAGATAAAAACAAAAGACAGGAATATTTAACTGCTCATGTAGATACATAAGAGGTGCTTTATTTCCTCTAAAGTTTCAAATTAGAAGTGTGGCTAGAGGCTAAACACACTTCCTCTGGGGACTGTGAATTATCTTCTCACTGTCACAGACTTACCTTGCTACAGCTTACCTTACTTTATCCCATCTCCCCTAAGTTCTTCTGCACTAGTGAGTGGAGTAAGATCATAATGTAGGTTGCTAAACACCAAGTAATTGAAAAATACCCTTTTCTTCTCCCCACTCCCCACCCCCCACACACTGCACTCTTCTCTTCCCTTCCTCCCAGCTGAGCATAAAAAAACTAAAATGGGCAGGGAACAGCATAAATAACTCCATGAAAGCAGTTTACATAGGATTTAGCAGAATATACAGAGCTCAGTAGAGTCCTATACTCAACTGTTTTCCAAACCAAAATGTTACTAAAGTAAGAAACAAAAAAAGGTTGAAAACAAAAGTAAAAAGCCACTTACTACGCATCTTCAAGTCATAAGGCTTTGCACTTAATAGATCTTCTCCTATGATGTTTTTTCTGTAAACATCAAAAAAGAAATAATTAACATAATACTGTCATTTTGCTCATTTATTTTCAATTCCTTGCCCTCCAAAATGAAATTCATTAGGTATTGAGTTTCACATTCTAGCAAAGAAAGTACAACTAGTTGCCTCTCCCCATTCCAGTGACTCACAATGGAGGTTTACTACCAAGAAACAAAATACCACTGCAATCCCTTTCTCTAAAACTGGCAGAAATTACCAGGAAGAAAGGGTATCTGTCAGGGTTTTCTGTTTAGATGGGACAAACAACAACACTGAATGGATACTGCTGAAGTGCTGAAGAGACTAGGCATATGTAGTAAACATTAGACTTAATGGGAGGAATGCTAAAAAAATTTCCAAAAGACTCTAAAAATAATGTACTGTTAATACACCATAGCTGAGAGATTTTCCACTTTGGGAGAAATTAAGGGTCTGACTAGATGGGCAAAAACCAAATTATTATTTTGTGTATTATTGCCATATACCATCCCCCCACCATATGTCCCTGAGAAAAAGCATTTAAGCATGTGGACTACCTCAGCTGAGTTAGACCCTCTGTATGACCCTGTTATAGGTCATATAGTGATGACCACTGTATACTCAGCAACAGCCAAGAGAACTGGGGTAACTTAGAGAAAGCAGAGAAATATATATCCATGACACTGTCACAGCCAGTGATAGGAGCTATGTTAAGAATGAAGTTAGCAAAAGTATTTCTTCATTATACCTGGGAAAAGTGTGCTATCTATTATGTAAACATATATACATGAATCAAAACGGACTCAGATACAGTTAAAAGAATATGCAAATAAAATCTACTCTAATGCAATTAACATGGGTTTATGGGTGGGCTCTTGCAGTGGGTGTTCCATGAATCCCTTAAAATCATATACAAAGTTTTGTCTGCAAGTATGTTTTATGACATGTTTTTCTGGAAGAAGGTGTCCTCACCTTTCTCCAGATTCTCGAAGTCCATAACTTCCCAAAAGTTAAGATCCAGAGAGCTATAGTATTATAAATTAGTTGCCTGATTCAATAAATCTCAGGGACTCTGTCAACTATTTTGGTAACTAAATAAATTTACTCTCTTAAGAAATTAGTATTCTGATGAAATATGCTAATGAACTATAGAAATATGAATTTGACAGTATACTGATTCAAGAATACAACTTTTGGATAGTTCTAAATATATTTTAGATCAAAACGGGCTTAAATTTTAAATGTACCAGAACAAGTTATTTTAAGTATTAATAATAAATTAATTTCCAGTATATTACTAACTCAATTTAGATAAAAACTATGTTAGATACCTATTAAACTCGAGTACTAAGCGCTGTATTTCTAGGCAATTATGTTTTAACAATAGCAATTAAAGAACCAAGTTGAAACATATTAAAAAATTTTTTAAACATAAATGTTACAGTAGGTAGCAAAAATACAAAGAAGCAAAATGAGAAAGTAAGTTGCTTGAATTATGATTATCTCATAAAGTTTGGTGGGCTATACCATTAGTTACTTTCTACTTTTTGTCCATAAAGACTAGAGCAGTGCTACTCAAAACGTGGTCTGTGCACCAGTGCTTTATCCATTATTGGTTGTGATATGTATGACAATGAGTAAGCATTCAGAAAATTTTATACTGCTGTAGCATTTTTATTTTACAAACATATCAATCTAATACCAAATTAGGGGAAAAAAAGAAAAAAAAACAACCCCAAAACTAAGAAAACCAATTCATCAAAGAGTTCAAATTATATTCTCAGATTTCAGTTGGCCCTTCCTTAAATGATCAAGTACATGCTTTAAAAGAGGTAATTAAATACATTTAAACCCCATATCATTTTTAAAAAGTATTCATTTTTATTACTAGCTACCTTCTGATTCTACACATATGGATTCCACTTTTCAAGTTCATCACTAACCTCATACAGCTTTTAGAATTTTCATGACAGGAGAGCTGTTTCTTAAAAGAGCTCTTGTTTATCTTGTCTTTTGTTTCTCTCAACTGTCTTTTTACTTGAACCTATGAGAAAAGCAAAAATCACCTCTTTAGAGTGATAATCCAGTATCACAAATGATAACCTATCAATTCTCCTTTGAAAAAATAAAAAATTAAAGAAACAAAATTGTTTGAATGAAACGCTAGCCCAAATACACATGCCTATTCATTCAAGCATGCTAAACCATAAATTTAATACATGTGCTAAGCTCTGGGGAAACAAAATAGTGGGAGACAGGCACATAAACAGGTTAAGTACTCATAATAGAGAGATAAACACAGATCAGCATATATACTACTGACTAAAAATTAACTCTAGAAAAGACTTTAATGAGTAGATGATTTACCAGTTCATCTTAAAGAATGAGTAAAATTTGTCTAAGGAAAAAAATTACTCTAAATTAAGGAAACACAGAAGCGAATGCAGATGGGGAAGTTAATATAAAGTATTAGGACCAGATTATGAAGGGCCTTGAATAATGAAACAATTCTATAGGAACCAGAGAATAAGTGAGGTTTTTAAAGGAAATAAATGAGATGATCAATTTTTTTTATTTAAGGATTAACTTTGGCAGTTATGTGAAGAATCAAGTAGTTAAGGAGAAACTATAAAAGCCAGGAAACCACAAGAAAGCTCTTACCATATACAGTCTAGATTTACCATCTGAGAAAACAGTCACCAGCCACATGTAGCTACTGCGAACTTGAAATGTGGCTGGTCTGAACTGAGAAGTACTCTAAGTGTAAAATATACACAGGAGTTCAAAGACTTAGGACAACAACAAAAAGAGAAAATCTCCCAATAATAATTCTTTAAAAATATTACATGTTGAAATAGATGTTGGATTAAATAAATTATATTATAAAATCTGTTTTTGTTTTGTACACTTTTCACATGGTTACTAAAATTTTTGAATTACAGAGTGGCTTATATATCAGAAGAACTGGTCTTGATGTCAGCATGAGAGCCTACAAGAGGTAATAGCAGAGGCATGAAGAAGAAACAAATTTAAGACACTGAGCAGAAGGAATAGGCAAAGGAGGACGGGGCAGAGAGAAAACAATGGAGAACTCCTGATGATTTTTGGGTATGTCTATGTTTATTCCTTTTGTATTACAGACGGAGATGTCCAATGAGTGGCTGAAAATACAAATCTGGTTCTAAGGAAAAAGATCTAGGCTAGTGACACAATTTTGGAAGCTATACCAATATAGATAGTACTGACAGCTACTGAAGTAGTAGAGAAGACTGAGGGGGAAAGTATACTTAGAGAACTGAAAGAAGATCCTATGAGGGGTCCCAATGATTTAAGAAAAGGTAAGAAGGGCAGGGACATGGCAGAGAAGATTGTAAAAGGTCAGATAAGTAAAAGAAACAAACATACACACATACACACATACTAACATACATACCCATAGGAGAAGTATAACCTAGAAGCCAAAGGAAATAAAGGTAAACAGCATTACATGCAGAAATGAGGGGATTGGCCCGTCAGAGATTATTCTGGCCCTTAGCGAGGACAGCTTTAGTAAAAACAAAATGACAGAGGAATGTTCAATGGAACAGAGGTTGAGAAAATGGAGTAAGCAAGTGTAGATGTCTCATTCAAGTTCCACTGTAAAGGGTAAAGGACAGTAAGTGAAGATTCCAAAGAAGCAAAGGTCAAAATTCAAAGGGAAATACTGAGAGTACATGGATAATATCACATTTAAGAAATACCTTTTCTAAGTTTCACAAAATTAGATTAACAGTACACCAAACTTTTAATGTAAGTACAAGCCTCACTAAATAAAACAAATTTCTATTCCAAGCAATGTAACAAAATTTTAAAAGAAAATATCTTTAGAAACTAGCTCATGCTAATGAATTCTTAGCAATATAACATATAGTCTAGAAAAATGGAGAACATGTCTTTCAGAGAAATTATGCTTTAATTTTGATTATATCACACATTTATATCCTTTCTCCAAGATAGATACTGATTTGCACAGATGTCCAGACTTAACACAATTACAAGTAAAATGATTTTTCATGCATCTTTTATTTGAATTGCAGCCTTATTTGTATATAGAGACTCATCTGTTAAAAATATATCAAAACAAATTATAAATACCTACAATGAGAACATCTAATGCTTAAATAGTTGTACGTTGTTTCCATATCCCTTCCTACTCACACAGAAAGCAACCGAACTATCATGGACTTATAGTGCTACCTGGGAACAGTTTTTCCCATCAATGGCATCATACATGTATGTATTCATTATTCCCATTTTTAGTTATATATCCTTTGTGACTTGTTAGATACCTCAAGAAATCTCTTAAACACAAACACCATATGATTTCACTTATATGTGGAATCTAATGAACAAATTAGAAACAGACTCACAGACACACGGAACAAACTGACAGCTGTCAGAGGAGAGGGAGGTTGGGGGGCTGGGTGAATTAAGTGATTAGGCAAAAAAAAACCCCAAAACTCATAGACACAGACAACAGCATGGTGATTACCAGAGGGAAAGGGGGATGGGGCAGGTAGAAGAGGGTAATGGGGGTGTAAATGGGGACAAAAAGGAGACTTGACTTTGGGTGGTGAACACACAATATACAGACGATATAGAACTGCACACTTGAAACCTATATAATTTTATTAACCAATGTCATCCCAATAAAGTCAATTAAAAATAAATAATTTTCTCTTAAAAACAGTCATGGTCATGGGGAAAAAAGACTGAGAACTTCTTTTGCTATAAGGGACATTCTTGGAACAAGTGGCAGTATCTGATTAAAATATATAAATTATAAAAAAAAAGAAACCTTTCTGTAATAGTCCTTGATTTTATTTGGTAGCGTTTTTATTGTTTTTTTAAGAAAATTTATCTTTGTTGTTGACAGTATTACAGATGTCTCCCTTTTATCTCCCATTGACCCCTTCCACCCCACCCCCACCCCTGCCCAAGGTCTTCACCACACAATTGTCTGTGTCTATGGGTTATGTACATATACATATAAAATCTTTGGTTGATCTCTTCCACCCCCCCCACTATGTTTTATTATTGTCATTGTTATTAAACAAGGTGGTTCCTCCCCACACAATTTGAAGAACCGAAGGTAGAAACTAACAAATTACAGACATAGAAAACTGGGAAATTGATGATAAAGAGATTTGAGTTTTATTTCATTCCAGTCTATGGGGAAACTATTAAACTTTTCAGCTGTTATCTTGTCAAATCTCTGGAGATCTTTGTACTTAGAATTATGCCTGTTCAGAGAGACNCTTCTATGTCACTGGATCTATTTTGTTCATCAGTTTATTAAGTTCTTTAGAGTCCACATATAAGTGAGATCATGTGATACTTGTTTTTCTGCCTGGCTTATTTCGCTTAGCATAATGTTCTCTGGGTCAATCCACACTGTCCCAAAGGGTATGAGATCCTTCTTTATAGCTGCATAGTATTCCATGGTGTAAATGTCCCACAGCTTTTTTATCCACTCACCTACTGAAGGGCACTTGGGCTGTTTCCAGATCTTAGCTATTGTAAATAGTGCTGCTATGAACATAGG